AACGAGCTTTAAGGCCATATATATTTTTTCTGAATTTGTGATTATGAGGTCAGGCCACTTTTTTCAACCTCTATCGCACATTTTAATACCAAATATGCGTGGAAGTAGTCGAAAGCAAGGTGTCTTGTCCAAGTGGTTAAGATAAGATTCTTGCTGCGGAATTTCATGTTCGTTTCACGTATGATGCCGGTTTTCTTTAAGTTTGAATTTGGTTCTATTTTTTTGGCATATTCCTTTATTTGATGTTTTTAGAGCTTCTTTACGCCGTATTTTGCTTATTTTTGCTAAGGGCAACTTTTGTTCTTTGCAAAAAATTCCATCGGTGAATTATTCGCTTAATCTAGTTCAGCTTATTACGTTCATGTGCAGCATATAGGTCTTGCTGAATTTTTTGTTTTCAGGAAACGTCTCTAATAACTACAGATGTGCATTCATCATACATAATAAAGCATTTATGAATGCACTTAGGTGAACGCGTTACTCCTTGTCTCAGTAAAAAAAGTTTTCACAAGCTGTATTTTAAATCTTAAAGAGTAATGAACGTAGTGAAGACTCTTATATAGGTCTTCGTGATTTTTTTTATCAGGAAAAAGTCTTAAAATGCTCTAATAACTATAGATGTGCATTCATGCTTTTATGAATGCATTTAGTTATATATGCTTTTTTTGAGTTCAATTGAAATTCATCTGCTGAAAGTGACGTACGTAGCACTCTCCAAATACGAACGTGGAAATGGCACAAAAAATGTGTACGAGTTCTTGTATCGAAACGAAAGTAGAATTTCATTTTTAGATTTCCAGCTGAATAAAAACTTTTCCTAGTGATCCAATTTTCTCTAGTTGGGTTCATGTTATCAAAAAATCACCAATCATAAATCGTTCTAGAATTTAAAGACCTTAAAGGGCAGCTATTTTTTTCTTTTAAATTCGAAAGTTGAGATTTTTTCGAGAAACTGTTTTTTATGTTTACTTGCGTTCATTACTTTTTTCCAATCTTTGATTGGTTGCTTATGTTTTAGTTTCAAGTAACACAATATGAGTTTTTCGAAGGAGTTTAAAATTTCAACACAAGTAACTTATTTCTTGCTTCTTTTTGACTACAACCCCCAAAGCAAAGTATTGCACCCCGTAAAACAAATCCCGAGAAGAAACTGTTTAGAAAGCATTTGATTGTGTTTTTCAACCGGTAGAATTCTAGTCTCATATAAATATGTTATGTTACTGACTCTTAAGCATCCCGTTGTTAATCTAAACGTGTTGTTTTGTTTTATTTGTAAACGTTGCGAGATGGTGTAACTAAGTGTGGGCGTCCAAAGTGGAGCTGCGTAGTACAGGACACTCCTTCCAATTGCCTTATAAGTTACACTGAGTGTTTGTTTGGAGCAATCCCAATTAGTGCCAGCAAGTTTTTTAAGTACATTATTTCTTTTTTTTTGCAGTTTGTCACATGTCTTAGTGCAGTGTTCACTTAAATTCAGTTGGTTGTTAAATGTTACTCCTGGAATATTGGGGTGGCGAGTAGTGAGTAGGTTAGTTCCGTTAACCATAACCTTTGGTTTTAAATTACATTCGTTGGTCCAAGTTGAGAATATTGATGTTGTGGACTTATCTTTAGATAGTGAAAGGTTTCTACCTTGTGGGACACCTTGTTTCACCTTCCTCAGTTTGGATTTTTATGTTTTTAAATTCTAATTAAGTATGTTTACCTCGCAGGTAGACAAGAATCCATCCCTTGGTGTTATTGTAAAGATTCGAGATGGCGATGTCGTTGAGCAGATGGTTGTAGTCAACGGCATCAAAGGCTGCAGTCAAGTCTAGGGCGACCATTAATGTTCTTTGATATGTTGTGCCTGGTTCAAACGAGCTTTAATGCAGAATGAGATAGAATTAAGGGCAGTGGTAGTCGACCTTTTTTCTGAACCCGTGTTGTTGTTCCTGAGAAATTACATTAAAATTGAATTCGGACAAAAGTAGACGTTCGATGAGTTTTGCCTTTGGAGAGAGCAGCTCAGTTGGCTGGTAGCACTTACCTTGCTCGGAATCTTTACCAAATTTAGCCAGGAGTATTACTCTTCCTTGTTTTCAGTTAACAGGTATAGTTGCATTAATCAAGGAGACGCTTATCAACTTACTGAGGTTTTTGTAGCTTGTTTTCCAATGAATTGTCAGTAAATTGGAGCAATGTTATCAAGTGCAAGCGCTTTGCTTTTCTCACTGGACTTTATTGCACCTTCCACCATTTTGACTGAAAATTTCACCTCCTTTAGTTCTAATTGTTTGATCTTACGAATAACTTTTGTTCTTGCTTGTGTGTGGAGTCAACTGTTGATTGAATTTATTAGAGATTTTTTTTGTGTGTTGTGAATGAATTCGTTGTCAAAGATAATAGGTCTGTTTCTTGGGAGTTTTGGCATTGGTGTTCAATAAACCTTTAACCGTAGACCAGAGTTTACTTGTTGCCCCTCGATGATCAACTCAATCCATTTAGTTCTTTTGTTATCTTCAACTAATTTTTCGATTTTTCTACTTAGTTCATTTATTTTGGCGTCTCCGGGATGTTGTTTTGGAAGATGTTCCCTTATTTCGGAGAGTTTAAGAGCGTCTGTTAGAAAGTTCGGCTTCACCTCTTTTATAAGTCCTTGAGGTATATGTCTAGATGCCGCGCCGCAAATTTTTTTCCGGAAGATTTTATCGCCTTTTTAGTTGATTTGGGTAGAGCTAATTTTCGAAACGTTTTTTTTGCACAGGTAGTATGCATTCTCGTGAGAACAAAGGTCAGTTGTTCCGGTAATCCAGGAAGTTGAGCGACTTTTGTATAATAATCGAAAGTTTTCATATTTTTTGTAATGGTGCAGTGCACTTAATCAATTCCAAGTGTTTTTGCTGCAAACTTCTCTGATATTTTTAATCTAAGCTTTTAAAACGAGTTTTAATTCTTCCTTTTTTTCCCTTTTTTGAAGTAGCAACGATTGGAACCTCATTTCTTAAGTTATCTGAGATATGATTTCATATGATTTCCGAAGTTCCCCTTTTCTCAAAAAGCTTCTTTCGTTTGAGATGAAATTCTCAAATGAGCATTTTTTGAGTTTTAAGTATGTTGCAGGATTTTTCGCAGCTGTTTTCAACATAGTCGGAGTTTGCCTAAACAATGGAACACTCCGAGACGAACTGAAATGCCTGATGTCTAATTGATATTTAGTCTCTAATATCATTGACAACTGATGTTCATTTCTCTAAATATATTATATCGTGAGTTGTTTTTTTAGGCTTGCAATGAAGTGGAGCTGCGTAGTAAAGTGGAGCTGCGTAGTACAGGACACTCCTTCCAATTGCCTTATAAGTTACACTGAGTGTTTTTTTTGGAGAAATCCCAAGTAGTGCCAGCAAGTTTTTTAAGTACATTGTTTCTTTTTTTTTTGCAGTTTGTCAAATGTCTTAGTGCAGTGTTCACTTAAATTCAGTTGGTTGTTAAATGTTACTCCTAGAATATTGGGGTAGTGAGTAGGTTAGTTCCGTTAACCATAACCTTTGGTTTAAATTACATTCATTGGTCCAAGTTGAGAATATTGATGTTGTGGACTTATCTTTAGATAGTGAAAGGTTTCTGCCTTGTGGGACACCTTGTTTCACCTTCCTCAGTTTGGATTTTTATGTTTTTAAATTCTAAATAAGTATCTTTACCTCGCAGGTAGACAAGAATCCATCCCTTGGTGTTATTGTAAAGATTCGAGCTGGCGATGTCGTTGAGCAGATGGTTGTAGTCAACGGCATCAAAGGCTGCAGTCAAGTCTAGGGCGACCATTAATGTTCTTTGATATGTTGTGCCTGGTTCAAACGAGCTTTAATGCAGAATGAGATAGAATTAAGGGCAGTGGTAGTCGACCTTTTTCTGAACCCGTGTTGTTGTTCCTGAGAAATTACATTAAAATTGAATTCGGGCAAAAGTAGACGTTCGATGAGTTTTGCCACTGGGGAGAGCAGCTCAGTTGGCTGGTAGCACTTACCTTGCTCGGAATTTTTACCAAATTTAGCCAGGAGTATTACTCTTCCTTGTTTTCAGTTAACAGGTATGGTTGCATTAATCAATGAGAGGCTTATCAACTTACTGAGGTTTTTGTAGCTTGTTTTCCAATGAATTGTCAGTAAATTGGAGCAATCTTATCAAGTGCAAGCGCTTTGCTTTTCTCAATGGACTTTATTGCACCTTCCACCATTTTGACTGAAAATTTCACCTCCTTTAGTTCTAATTGTTTGATCTTTTGTTCTTGCTTGTGTGTGGAGTCAACTGTTGATTGAATTTATTAGAGATTTTTTTTGTGTGTTGTGAATGATTTCGTTGTCAAAGATAAGAGGTCTGTTTCTTGGGAGTTTTGGCATTGGTGTTCAATAAACCTTTAACCGTAGACCAGAGTTTACTTGTTTTTATCGTAAGATTTTATCGCCCATTTAGTTGATTTGGGTAGAGCTAATTTTCGAAACGCTTTTTTTTATGCACAGGTAGTATGCATTCTCGTGAGAACAAAGGTCAGTTGTTCCGGTAGTCCAGGAAGTTGAGCGACTTTTGTATTATAATCGAAAGTTTTGATATTTTTTGTAATGGTGCAGTGCACTTAATCAATTCCAAGTGTTTTTGCTGCAAACTTCTCTGATATTTTTAATCTAAGCTTTTAAAACGAGGTTTAATTCTTCCTTTTTTTTGAAGTAGCAACGACTGGAACCTCATTTCTTAAATTATCTGAGATATGATTTCCGAAGTTCCCTTTTTCTCAAAAAGCTTCTTTCGTTTGAGATGAAATTCTCAAATGAGCATTTTTTGAGTTTTAAGTATGTTGCAGGATTTTTCGCAGCTGTTTTACACATAGTCGGTTTTTGCCTAAACAATGGAACACTCCGAGACGTACTGAAATGCCTGATGTCTAATTGATAGTTAGTCTCAGATATCATTGACAACTGATGTTCATTTCTCTAAATAAATTATATCGTGAGTTGTTTTTTTAGGCTTGCAATGAAGTTGTATAATTTGGGCTGTGCCGACTTGTTCAGATGCGTCTTCTGTCGGAACCTGTCTAATGATCCGAAGATTATGTCTTGCATGCATACTGCTTGTCTAGACTGCCTTCAGAAAAATTTCGACGCGCAGTCTTCGCAGATTAAATGTAATGGATGTGATGCGGTCAACACTGTCAAAAATGTTAGTTGAAGATCGAATAACGTACTAGATTAAATACACGCCGCATGAACTTGTAAAAATTTGTTTTATCTGAATTTAATTGGCCAGACATTTGAACAGCGTGTGGTTTGAGCTGCTCTATTTGAGTAAAAGAAAGGCAACTATTGTAAAGGAAATTGTGTAAATGTCTTTTCTTTTTGATTATAGATCGATGCTTTTGGGAATCATGATTATGTACGCAATGTGCTGACTATTCTGAGCTCTACAGGTATTTAATTTTTAAAAACATTCTAAGAACAATTTCAGTATAAAATTATTGAGGATTTGCGATTGTCTAGATAAGTCTGAGAACGTATTTGTCGAATGTCCGTCGTGTGAGGCTGAAATCCACGAGAACACTCTGATGTTCACGTGTCTAACCTGCAGTCAATCACGTGATCAAGGCAGAGGGGACTCCCGTCCTCCGCCTACTTCCAACTTTGTGAGCATTCTGGAGACTGGTCATAAACTGACTGCCAGAACTGTCATGTGCAGTCAGTGTTTCGATCATCACTGCCTTCAGAACAAGGTGACATTTCACTGTTGCAAATTATGCATTGATAAATTTGCCATGAAGCAGTTGTTTTTTGTGTTGAATTTAAAAGAAACCATGGTTGTCATGCCGTTTCGTATTAAACAATCCTTGTTAGGGCATTCTTAGCGTCGATAGCGCTATTTTCGCATTAATCGTGATAAGAACTGTTCAAGTGATTGGTAGTTTTTTTATCAGGGTCATGCAGTATTTGCTTGCGTCGCATCCAGCAGTGGCCAGTTTCTCTCCCAAGCGTCATCGAGACTAGCCAAATGCAGGAAGCACAAGGAACCTCTGGTTTCATTTTGTCTGAAATTGAAGCGACCGATGTGTGATGCATGTCTTACTAGCCATAACATCTCAGGTTAACATCATCACTTAATCAGTTTTGCTCCGATCACTGAAATAGGGAGAAACTTTGTCTTCGAGTGTGTTTGTTCTTAATTTTCATTTTTTGTCCACCCGAAATCAGGTACCGCAAATGATAATCAGAATAGATCGATTGATATATCATATAAAGCACTTACAGTAGTGATTCGAACGACATCTACAAATTAAGGGTCAAGTTTTTTGTGTCGGTTTTAATTTGAGCGAGCAGAAAGCGTAAAGAATGAATTGAGCTATAAAGTCTCATTTTTGATAATTCATTGAGCACTTTCCAGCATGAAATCTCCAACAAAATCAATTTTTGTTTTTCGGTTTTCTCGAAAACTACCTGACCGATTTTCAAAAGAGTGGTACCAATGGGAAGTCCGACCACTCCCATGTGTGCCTGCATACTCCCCCAGTCTCTTTTTTGAAATTACCCCACTTTCCACAGCCTTCGAAAAAGTGTGTGGGGGGACTTTTTAACACAAATTTCTGGATTTTTTTTTCATCTTCTCGAAAACTACCCTCCCGATTCTGAGATATTGATTTCAGTGTGAAAAACGGGTTGTGGGAAGCTCCACTGTATAAGCGGTTACGACCAGTTTTTTTTTACACAAAAAGTTATGACCATCGATTTTTTTACGTTTTTTTTTTGAAACTTTTTGACTTCTCTCAAAAACTACCCACCCAAATCTAATGAGCAACGTTTTAAGCATACTTCAACCTAACACGCTCTTGTAAAAAACTTCAATTTTATAAGAAAACTGAAGTAATTGACAAAATTAACCGATTTTGAAGTCATGTAGGGATTTACTTTTCATTGCTATAGGTCTGTTTTTGAAATTACCCTTGTCCTTCTGCATCAATGCAAAAATTTCAAAAATTATCAAAAAGGTATTTCCAGCTTTAGCTGTCCTCTAATAGTTTTCCGGGCTAAGTTTTGTATATCTCCTCCCTTTCCCTGCACACAGAAAAACCCAATTTTGAACAAAACTTTTTTTCTGTTGACGGAACCTTGTAGTGCTACTTGTACAGGAACTAGATAGCATTGTTAAATTTCTTTAATCGAGTTTCTTCTGAGTTGAACGTCTCATTTCTTACACCTTAGTTTTACTCGCTTCATTTGAAAGATTTCGAATTGATTTGAAAAAGTTTGACTCAATCTCAATAAAAAAAACCCAGGTCAAAACAGGGTCGTATAAGTTTTCTATGTGTCAGATAGACTTGGTTGACAGACAATCACCGATTGATTTTATTGGGCAGCCCTGTCAAACGTTATCAGTCGTTTGATGACTTTAAGGTCACAGTCACTTGACAGGAGTGGAGTTAAAATGTCACGTGAAGAGCAAAGTGGAATGTGGTAAGAGGTTCCAGGCCAATATACATGCGTATAACAAACGAATGGAGAATTTGAAGAAAGGGTTGGACGCTGAAAAGGAAAGCAACGCTCAAAACGCGAGGTGGGCCAGCTTATCTTTTGAAATCAATTGTGAATAGTAAAAAAGAGCATCACATGCTATGCAAAGCGCATTAAGACTTTCATTGATAGTGAATAACATATTGGACTTTTCCAGCTCCTTTCGCAAAATTGCAGCAGAAAGTTGTTAATTATTTTTTTTTCAAAGGGATGATAACATGCAAAAGTTGCAGTTTGTTTATTTGTAGACTCAGACAGTGTGTCATTGTAGTTATGAACTCAAAAATAATTCAAAAAAGTTTTCGTAAGTTGAAGTTTAGAAAAAATAAAATAGGGGAGCGCGAAAACAGTCTCAGAGTGTTGGCAATATTGGTGACCTTGAGCATCTTTATTGATAAGAAAATTGGGATGCATTAGTTAATCAGAACTTTTGACGCAGATACGTGTTGAAATGAGTGAAAAGTTGATTTCAGGTATAAAAATGCGATTTTGATTTGATGAAATGCGTTCAGTCCTGAAAACCGAAAAGAGTATTGCCACATATTTGCCCGAAAAGTTAATGTGACTTAATATAATGTTTTTTTTTCAGAAAGTTGTTCCAAAAGCTGCACGACATTCTGAAGAAAAACGAGGACGATTTGATCAAGCAGCTGGACGAAGTCTACACCAGTAAACTATCAGAGCTGAATAGCATTGAGGAGCAAGGAAGTTTCTTCGCAAATTTGGGAGATCGTCTCACACAGGTAAGATAGGATTAATTTTTTGCTGAGTTGGACGATTTTTTCCCTTGATTTGGACAATTTACATCCTTGATTTTACGGACGCTTGTATACGTTTTTTTTTTTGAAAAACTGAATTGATTTAACTGTCCTGAATAAAAAGTGTTGCTTCAATTTCAGACTGCCTCTGATCTGCTGTGTCTCTCAAGTGAGAACGAGAGCTATTCGTTCGTCACTGCAATCGACACAGTGGCCAGTCAACTCACCCAGTTCTCAGCTGGGCTGGAGGAAGAAGTGCGCCAGATTCTGAAGTCGAAGCCTAACATGAACTTCAAGAAGAGATTATTCGAAGACTTCGTCAATATTCAGTATGGTGAGTATTTCATTGTATAGCTGCAAATACAGAAATGATTAACGTCAGTTTATTACTTTTATTACGGCCACATGCACGTTAGTAATGCTCGGCAGGGTTTTCATATTTTCGGTCAAGCTCTTCGGGTAGAGGCTAGGGCGCATTTCAACGGGTTAGAAGTCCCTTAGGAATTCGATACCCTGGCCGCCGAAGGTCTCACTAAATTTGGTCTTTTCTAAATGTCAATGAGCGAAGTGAAGACACTTATTTAAGGAATGTGAATGACTTTTCTTTCGAAAGTTGATTTTAATTTTGAGATTTCCCATGGGAATGAAAAAAGTACCTATTTTCCATTTTTCTCTAATTAGGTTTCTTCTATAAACTAAGCGTCAATCACAAAAATTAATTAAGTTCGTGGTTTCTTGAGGAATAGAAGATTAAAACAGGACTCAATTCACCTTGTTTATATAATAGATAAGTTTGTAAATAATGTAAATAATGTCATGACAAAATTCTAGAGTTCAACTTAAATCTTTCATAAATTGAGACAGAGTGAGTGAGTGAACTTGATTATGAATAGAGTATGGATTGACAGGTCGTTAGCGACCTTGATAGCCAGTAGGCAAGATTAGCACGATTAATAACTAGCATTGAAAGTAATACTATAATGACGTCAGTTAGACAGCACCACACCACATTTCCCCCTCTAGTGAAAAAATTAAAATGAACTTTTGAATTTTTTTTAAATTAAGAATAACTAAACATACACTCACTGCCGGTAACAAAACTTCCTATAACAGATGAAGCACTAATAGAAGTTTACAAAATTGACGGATATGACTTAAGTAAATATACTGGAAATGTTTTAAATGACTAGAAGAATTTAAATAACAGGAGAGTTTTATTTATCTGAACGACGCAAGGGATGATCCAATGAGCTCTTTTTCGGAAAACGTGTAAATTTTCTGCTAAAACCTTCAGACTCATTGGGTAGAACAACCCGGGACTGCCCCACTTGAACATCTGGCTCTTGGTTAGCCAGAGCAAAACGAACTCTCCTGTCCGGCGAAACAGAAGTTGACGGAGAAGAAGACAAAGTAGCTTGGACGACATTCACGGAATGTCTGATTGGGCTACCGTAGAAAGTTGTCTGCTTTTTCCGGCGAGATGAAATTCGGGAAGAGCTCGATGATGACGAAATATTTCCGTCCGGTTCAGAAATTAAACCAGAAACATCCCGGGTGGGAAGACCCGATGCTGCCAAATTGGTCGAAGTGCACTCTTGTAGCTTCGGAACCGATGACTCATCGTCCGAAGAAATAGGGATAAGATCCGGGCCTAATAAAAATTTGTCTTTCGTGGGAGATGGTGACTTCGGTTTGATACTGAGGGGAACCTCCGCTCCTTGGTTTCCTGAAGTGGACGAAGAAGCCGTTAAATCTACTACTGGAGTAGACTGTTGAGGATAAGGAATAGTTTGAACTCCTGGAGCCTCCGATACTAAATTGTGCTTTGATTTGGACGAGAAAATTTGAGCACGAGATGGCGTAGACGAAGACACCAGAAATGGGAATTGCGGACGAGCAGGTACGGCCACAGTTTTGGCCGAAATTCGTTGACGAGAACTAGTTGGTTTTAAAGGCCGATTGTCCTCTGACGATGAAGGCGAAGATGAAACAATGGGGCGTTTTTGCCCCTTCTTGACAGGCGTTGCTTGCTTGCCTGAAAAACTTAGACTCGTTGATTTATGACGTAACGCAAGGTGAATTCTTCTAATCACTTTTCCCTTGTCAGAAATATATGTGGACCCAGTAATCTGCACAATTTTACCCTTAAAAGGTTTGAAAAGTTCTCGACCAGATTTCCTATTCAGAAATTTCCTAAAAATCTCGACCTTACTTGGTTCATTCAAAACTAAGTAATCCAATTTACGTTTTGGTAGTGACGGACGGATTTGTTCAGTTGGCATCTGGTTCCTGAATCTGAGCATCCCAGCATACAAGTTGGAACGAAGGGTAGCTGCGAGAACTTGGTTCCGTTCTGTCAGCGTCTTAAGAGCTTTGACCCCCTCTTGATGCTTTAAGGACTTCTTCAAAGTCAGCCACTGATTTGCAGAATGAGCTGGACTCTCCAGCGCACGATAGTGAGGTGTGTCCGCAACTGATTCCGTTGGTCCCCCAAAGTAGGGTGACACTATCGGGCTTGACTGCCCCTTCTTGACTAATTTTATTCTTGGTCGACTGTCGCACTGCTCCCGACGCTGTTCTGGTGTTAGGTCACGCTCCAATTGTTGGTTATCTAAATTAACGCGCGTAGACAAACGCTCTGCCGCAATAGATAACTCCGTATTCGGAGGACCACCAAAATGAAGCTCAAAAGGTGAAACCCCAGTAACAGAATTTTTTGTTATCCGAATATCTTCAATTATATTTCTAAGCGTATCTTGAACATTTGAAAAATCCGAGCTCAATCGCGAAGCACCCAAACGACGCTTAATGGTTTGGATCGGCCGTTCCACCAGACCACAACCACGATGATCCCCCACCGGGCAGAAATATTGGGCAATATTTTTATCTTTACAAAAGGCCTGCACTAATTTGTTCTTAAAACCTGAATATTGGTTAGTTTTGATGGATTTAGGAATACTATGCTGTTGAATATACGTTTTAAGAAATTTAATGATCTTCCGTCCCCCCGTAGAACGTGTAATCATAGCCGACGGATATTTAGAGTAACGGTCAATCGCGACCAAGATATAAATACTGTTACCATCCAAATCGAGTAGAGGACCCGCATAATCGAGCTGAAGCTCTTCATTAGGGCCAGATAAAAGGGGTAAAGGTTTTGGTAGAGTTAAATGAAGCGTTCGCTTTCAAATTCTTACCAAACTTCGTGCACTGGGGACAATTTTTACATAGCTGGACAATATCTCGATGCATTCGAGGCCACCATATGTATTGCGCGGCGTCAACCATGGCTAACTGACCCGCATGCGACCTATGTAGACGAGACAGTAACGGTTTCCTAAGACACATGGGAATAGCGATCCTATTGTCCACGACAACACAGCCATCAACCACCGCTGCACAATGCCAAAAGGATTTTAGGTATGAGTCAATACGACAAAATCTTTCATAGTCCCGGTTAATAAGCGCACGTTTCATCAAGCATAGGCTGGGGTCTTCATCCGTAAGTTCCGACAGCACATCGGAGTCCAAAATGCCCACCAAGCCGGTTAATGATTTCTGGTCCTGAGCGACCACCGATGATTTCAAAATTTCCAAACTTTGATTTGACTGAACATGACGACTTACTGATCAGACTTTCCTGAGCCTCTTTGATCTAAAATTGGCCAGTATTCGGGCGTATTGACCCCTCAACGCCGCACCACGCTGTAAAGTAGTCGACCTCTTTGGACGCACTGCCCCCGCGTGAAACCGCGGCCTGGCACGATCCGACGAAAACCAATGTTGATTGATCGGAATAAACTGGTTGAGCAGTTGTTCAAAGCTATCGTTAGCGTTATTGATGTTAATATCCATCACAGTCTGAAAATGAAAAACGCCCAATAATACGAATACACACCAACAATTCCAATAAACTGAAATAAGATCAAAAAGACCCACGGACGATGATAATAAATCCCAATCACAAATTACCGTACTAATAATCCACTCTAAAGACAAAATTGGCAGATAATTTGTGATCCACGCTGAGAAAGTGACAAAAACGTGCATGAGCCAGCCCAACGCTTATTGGCTAGATTTTAAACCAGAAATTCTAACGCCCTCTAGCGAAGAAATGACAAGCGCATTGAATTGTTTACATAATTCGGTATAGCCAAAGTCGAAATATTCGTCGCCCTCTACCGATTTTATGTATTGAGATGTAACTTGAATGTCCCGATTTTTGACGCTCTCTACCGACAGATTTCCAATATCTTTGGATGAAATTAATGAATTACCCCGAACGGGACAATTGGCCCGAGGCTGAAAGGAAATCAATTGGCTCGATTAAATTGATCGAATTAGATAAAACGAAATTTCGAAATATTGGATGATTCTTCTGATAAAGAACAAACTCGAACCCATCCATCCAGATAATCGCACGCATCGAGTAATACACTTGACCACATATTGCTCATCAAAACTGCTTGGTCGTGGCGCCTCAAACGTTGGAAAACGAGATAAATAATCCACTATACCCAATTTACATCCGGAAATGTGGAAAATATCGAAGTCAAAAGGCAATAATCTATCAGCCCATCTGGTTAAGCGAGATTGATGGGTTTTATTACCTCTATTGGTCTTTAACGCCGAAATAATCGCTTTATGATCCGTTAAAACCACAAAATGATAACCCAATAAATATTTACGAAAGTGCTCACATGACCACACAATGGCTAGAAGTTCCAACTCATTAGTACTATACTTCTTTTCCTGGTCATTGAGGAAACGCGACGCAAATGCAATAGGAACCCAAACATCCTTTTCTATTTCCTGTTCTAAAGCAGCTCCCAAACCGCTATGACTAGCGTCACATTTCACTCGCGTATTCCGACTTTGGTCATAATGATACATCTTTGTGATATTCGCTATAAATTGCAAAATATTCCTAAAAGCCGTTTGTTGGTCCTCCCCCCACACAAACTTGCTTTTATTACACTTGACCACATATTGCTCATCAAAACTGCTTGGTCGTGGCGCCTCAAACGTTGGAAAACGAGATAAATAATCCACTATACCCAATTTACATCCGGAAATGTGGAAAATATCGAAGTCAAAAGGCAATAATCTATCAGCCCATCTGGTTAAGCGAGATTGATGGGTTTTATTACCTCTATTGGTCTTTAACGCCGAAATAATCGCTTTATGATCCGTTAAAACCACAAAATGATAACCCAATAAATATTTACGAAAGTGCTCACATGACCACACAATGGCTAGAAGTTCCAACTCATTAGTACTATACTTCTTTTCCTGGTCATTGAGGAAACGCGACGCAAATGCAATAGGAACCCAAACATCCTTTTCTATTTCCTGTTCTAAAGCAGCTCCCAAACCGCTATGACTAGCGTCACATTTCACTCGCGTATTCCGACTTTGGTCATAATGATACATCTTTGTGATATTCGCTATAAATTGCAAAATATTCCTAAAAGCCGTTTGTTGGTCCTCCCCCCACACAAACTTGCTTTTATTACTTGCTTTCAAGGAAGGAACGTTGTAAATGGTTGAGTATGCCCATGAAAGAACGAAGTTGCTTGAGCGACTTAGGAGGCTCCAGAGCTAACACTGCATCGATTTTGGAACGTTTTGGCCTATAGCCCTCTGAGTCAATGTCATAACCCAACCAAGATAGTTGATTCATCGAAAAATCGCATTTCGACAATTTCAGAGCGAAACCTTCTTCATCCAAACGAGTGATCACTTTATTTACAAGAATATTGTGATCCATGACTGATCCTTTCGAAACTATCAGAATATCGTCCAAGAAACAGAAAACTCCCGATAAACCCTGGAGGGTATTGTCCATTGCTTTTTGGAATTCTTTTGGCAGTCCGTTAACCCATAAAACCCAGTTTTAAACCGATACGTGCCAGTTTGCTCTCCACAGACGATATTAAAGTTGCAATGACGACTAACTTCATCACTGAGCGGGATCTGACTGAATGCATATTTCAAGTCTAGGGACGTAAACCAAACATCACCTATTTTGTCCGATGTGATTATCTGGGCTGCCGAGTCCAACAGTTCCAATAAATTCGGCATCTGATATTAGTTCTTATGAATCTGATCATTCATAGGCTTTGTATCCATAGCCAATTTCACGGAACCATCCTTCTTAGCCGTTATTACGATCGGAGAGATAAAATGTTCGCTTGTACATTTGTTAAGTTTGACCACGTGGCCTTATTGAATTAACTTCTGAATTTCCACACCAACTTTATCTTGGATATGCACTGGAACCCGCCTTCCTTTCTCCTGAATCGGAACAAGCGCAGACTCGAATGTAGAGAATACTTGGTGATTTTTGGCTCTACCTACTCTGGAAAATATACGATGAAACTTCTGATGGAAATGTGATTTCCAAGACTCTGACGTCTCATTCGGGTTTGATAGGGATACTTCACCCACCAAAGACCTTTCTGGTCTAACTTGCGTGTTCTCACTCCCAACTGGGGCTGCAAGTCTAAACCTAATAAGCATCGTGTACGATTTTCCGAAATGAGGAATTTTGCAGACTTGACATTCCAACCCAATGATGACACATCCACTATCAGTGTACCCATCAGTTCAATTCTTTTCCTAGTAGTCAACATATACCGTGTCGATTGGACGTTCCTGTTCGCTAAAAACTTTGGCTGACGGAACTGTTTTCACGATATAGTCTGCTGTCCTCTTATTCACGAAAGAGGCAGGACTTCCAGTATCCACCGTTGCTTTGAAGAACGTCTTCCAACAACGAAGTGTTATCTGAATAGAGCGTAACTTGCCCGTAGCAGCATTAACCACCTCCAATTTCTTCACTGACGCGATGGGACGATTCGGTTCTTCTGCCGACACCGACAAAACTGCAAACTCTGACTCACTATCGGACGTAATGAAATTACAATTTTCTTCCACGGTCTCATCTGACTCAGCTTCTACATTCGCTACGTTCTTGGAATTACAGCATTTGGCGAAATGTCCCTTCTTACTACAATTCCGACAAGTCACATTTCTAGCTGGACAACTTTGCTTATGATTTGATGAAAACCTGTTACCACAAAAATAACATAGTTTCGCTTTCTCGTTGGCCCCCTTCGACTTATTATTCTGAGCCCGATTAATTCTATCTGCCAATTTCTTCTCTTGGACAGAAAATGTAGGTTCCTGTTTTATGCGAGTGTTCTGACCCGAATTGGATCCTGACTGGGAAAAACTGCCCATCGAAGCCGAACTCCCTAGTTGCTTTTGCAGATCAGTGGCGGTTTGTGCCCCTTTTTCCTGCAGCATTGCTGATTTCAGCGTCTCTTCTGGAGTGGTGCCTGGGCGAATACACAATTCTCTCTGAATGTCTTTATATCTCATCTTGGCAATGAAGATATCTCTTACAACTTCTTTTTCCTGATCAATTGTCCACCCACACAGAGCGGCTTGTCCCGTCAGTCGCAAATAAAAAGCTTCCAAACCTTCTCGATCTGAATGTACGGCGTTATACATTTGCAATCGTTCGATAATGTAATTTTTCTCCTTTCTGAAAAGGAGTACACAGAATTCGTGAAATTCTTGAAATGATATTGCACTAAGATCCGCATGTGGGTAACTTTGGAGAAACCTTTTTCCTACCTTCTGAGCCAAGCGAAAAGAATAAACGAGGTTTAGTTCGTTGCTCAACTTCATAGTAGAACACACCTGGTGCTACTCTGGGACCTTTCGCCCGGCGTTCTTCATTCATTTCCGCCACTCTTCGCACGGCTGCATCGTTTCGTGCAATACGATTCGCAATTGCTGCCGCATCCTCATCAACCCCACAGCTTCTGGTTTTGGAACAGGATCATCGTGTACCACACCCGGTGGTTTCAATAACTCACGTGGGTCACACCTTTCTCTCAAGGTGATTGCTAAGTTGAATTGGCCTATCCAAGAATCCCAGCTGCTGGGTGGATCCGCTGTTGGTTTGTGCCAGAATACGGGCACACCTAACAGGTCAGTCCGATCCTCGGAGATCGAAACTGCTGGCTGCGCCATGTGGTTTCTTGAGGAATAGAAGATTAAAACAAGACTCAATTCACCTTGTATATATAATAGATAAGTTTGTAAATAATGTAAATAATGTCATGACAAAATTCTAGAGTTCAACTTAAATCTTTCATAAATTGAGACAGAGTGAGTGAGCGAACTTGATTATGAATAGAGTATGGATTGACAGGTCGGTAGCGACCTTGATAGCCAATAGGCAAGATTAGCACGATTAATAACTAGCATTGAAAGTAATACTATAATGACGTCATAACTATACAGTTAAACAGCACCACACCACAAAGTTCAAAGAGCTTTTTCTTAATAAATCTGAATTTCCTAGATTAATCATTTTGTCATTTCCATGTGCAAGGACACTTTTCTAATGTTCCGTTGGTTATATTTACGGCTTCGAGAGAATCGAGGAAAATAATTTGGTCGACATAGACGACATTTTTTCTTGAAAATTCGTCTCCACCGCGGAAAAATAGCTTAGCTAAGGTAAGAAGATAGCTTAGCTTTCTAAAAGAAGAAAAAAGACCCTGTGTGTTGTTTCAGTTAGTGTGGAAGATGGGCCCTCGAAGTTTGTGGACAGTATCTGCTGCTCTCTTTCTGAAGTGCCGGAGTCCAGACTCACCCAAATCACCATTGCAAGTGATATTCTGAGTCAGAATAAAAACATCGAAGTTAATGCAGAGGAATTCAAGGTGAGATGACGCTCAGCGAGGGGAGAGGGGAGGCTGATCCTAGATTGTTGCAAAGTCCGATGTTTCAAAGTCAAATATTATAATCCCAGCTGCTCTGAAATCCTGAGTGACCTGTCGCTAATTGCAAAGCAAATTAAGCTCTTCAATAAATAACAAGAAGGCGGATGGTGTGAAAAAACGGCATGGGTTTTGTTTAAGAGTTACTTTCATTACACTTCAGCGAGCGTAGTGTATTATCATGAACCTACTTTTTCCATTCTAACTTGCAAATAAAAAAACTTTATTTGGTTACTTTTTTGCTCTACTCAGTATATGTAGCATTGGAAAATTCATAGCATCTGCTCTTTGCTTTATTTGTGGCTTGTGTTTGAGGTTTATTCCGCATCAGTGGCTGTGTGGTTAGTGTGTGAGTCTTATAATCTCTAGTTCTCAGATCGAACCCGAGAACCAGCCGATTTCATTTTACTAATTCGAAGCTTTTTTGTACTTTTCCTTATTGCACTTTGTAGAGCTGCTTTTTGTCGTGTTTGCAAAGCGCAGCTTCGCCTGTGTCAATGTTTTTTAATTTAAAAAAGTTTAATTGAATGTCTCTAGTCACCCTTGCAATAAGCAAGGTTGTTGCAACAGGGTACTCGATTTTTTTCCCGAAAAGAACCTGTTCACAGAATAGACGAAAGAAATGGTAATCAGTATATTTCATAACTGCTGAATTAAACGCATGGTTAGTTTATTTGCTGCATATGTGCATTGGGTGCACGTTAAGATTTGCAATTAAGTTTTATCTGTGCTAAAAATTTATCGGTACATTTTCGGCTCTTGGATCTGTCGGATTCAATTATGTCGGCTTGTTTTCCTAATGTTTTGATTTCAATAATTATTCATGGTATTATATGAGTACAGTTGAACTCTAATGAGAAATTATTTTAAAAAGTCAAATCACCCTCGTAATAAAATTGAAAAATTTAAACATACAATTTGCATTTAATTGTTTCTCGAACTATTTTCGGCTATTTGGTTTGTTAAACAACATTTGTCGGAACCTTTGTTATTTTGATTGCGCAACCTGCTGTATAGATTTTTTGTGGGTTAACTGGTTCCACAAAATCACTGAACCAGTTGCTCATTTTACTTAAATAGTATATCAAGTTTGAGGTTTCGATTTTGCCTGTTTAATTTTGAGGTAACATTCATGCTTGAATGACAAAGAGCATGGGTTCAATACTGGCCACTAGCTGTTTTTTTTTAAATTGTTTTTGTTTCTGGGAGAAGTCCAATTATTGGAATTTTGTTTGCCAGCTCGTTTTGTAATGATTGAATGACTTTTTGATATGTTGTTACAATTCGTGAATTTGCGACCCCTGATTTTGTTTTCTTTATAACTTTCTTTTTTTTTTTGCTCAAGGCTTATTCGGCTTAAACAGTTTTGCAGATGTGGTATTTATATATATACAGATATATAAGATGATTGAAAGTTTCTAATTCTTATCTTGGTACCCTTGCGAAAAGGAAGGGTATTGCAATCGGGTACATGACAGAATGGTCAGTTTTGTAGGAACGGAATTTCGTTGGCTCATTTTCCGTTGCTTTTAAACAACATTTACTTTATCTGGTGACATTTTTCAAGCGGTAATTTGTCATTTTACCAAGTCTCATTTTGAAATTTTTTTAAAGTTTTTTTTCGACTAAATGGTTTTGGTTGATGTTGTATCGGTATAGATAACTTATTTTGTGTAGTTTCGACGGTCAAAAAACTCCTGCCTGTTTCTTCTAATTTTTTGAAACGCTTTCGAAATGTTTTTTTTTTCTTTTCTCAAAATCTACTTGCTTAAATCTGAGACTTTGGGTTCAATCCAATGAAAGGTTTATAGGAAACTCTTCTGCATGTGCAGCTACGACCAATTTCTTCTAAAAAAAATTTTGGCCCTCGAAAAAGTCATTTTTGATTTTTTGATCGTTTTTTGAAATTTTTGAAGAACCGCTTGCGAAAATTTTTCCTATAGTGGCGACTCCGTTTTTTTGTAACAAACATAACATAAATCGTGAAGATTACAATTTCTCTAAAGTTTTCACTTTTCTCCCTTATTTTAGTTGGGAAACAACTAAGGTTTGGGCATAGTCCAATTTTTGAAGGTACTGATTTCATCCCGCATCACTATAACAATTCCAAAAATATTAAAAAACCAGCTGCTTCCGGTTTTAGCTGGCCCCTAGTTATATTTCATCGAGACATAAGAAAAATTTGATTCACTTATTTCTTCTCAATGTTTTTATTTTCGATTTCTGATGTTTTTTGTGTTTGTGTTGTATCGCAAGTGATGCGAAGCTCCGCTTCGCCTCTGTGTATATTTTCCGTATTTTTGTATTATTGTTTTTGTTTATTCGGCTGTAAAGGTTTTATCTAGCGTTGTTTGATGAAGCTCAAAAAAAAAGAAAATTGTAACTTTTTCGCGTGTGTGCATCAGAGGAACTTGTTTGCAGGTGTTTTTGATAAGTTGTTCCGTCGTAAATTTTGTTCAATGGTAATTAAGTGTCAATGAACGAAGAAGTGAAGACACTTGTTTAGGTCGTGTTGATTTTTTTCCGTAAAAAGTCCTGTGGTGTGCGCGCAAATTTATTTATTGCGACTTTTTGTTCCATTCAAATGTTAAAAAGAGACCACATTGCGCTCTCTTATTGCGAAAGTACGAATGAGCGAAAAAAATGTGTTGACTTTTAGTTTCGAAAGGGTTTTAATTTTTAAATGGGGTTTTAAGTTCCGAGTGGGATAAACAAAATTGCATAAAAATCCAGTTTTCTTAAATCGGGCTAGTATTTATCCAAAAACTGTCAATCGTGATAGTCTCTGGAAATTCAAGCGGTTAAAGATGATATTGTTTGCTTTAAAACTCGATCGAAAGTTGAATTAACAAATTCTTTTTCGGTCTTGCTCCTGGACGCTTTTTTATTTTCTGTTGGCTATGTTTTAACGCTGCAAATCGTCTTTCTTTACATGTTTGCATCAACTAGAATTTCATTCGAGACAGCGTATTTTTTTAAGACTTTTTTCGGAATTTTTTTTTCCAAATTTCTGGCTTTCGTAATTTTTTGTCGAATAGCTTGCCATGCTATGTTATTATTGCTATTGGCGAGAAGCTCCGCGAAGTCTCTTGGATGTGCGTGTAATTAGAATATCGTGTATTAGGTTGAACTGTCGATGCCGGGTAATATGCCAATCAATGTCCCTGTGCAGTCAAAAGAAACTGAGGAGCTCTCTGAATCTGGAGAACAAGTAAACAATGTCAAATTCATTGCCCTCGTAGACCCGAATGTCGTGGGTGCTGGCATCTACAACCTGAAGGTCTACCACAAGTTAGATTTGATCCAAGCTTGTCCAGATGTCATCAACGTGTATCCGAAATACGACTCAGGTTCGAATTCGCTTCCTGATCTAATTACACTGAAGCGCACTGAACTTAGTTTTTTTCAGCTTCTTTGTTAAACTACTTGTCATCGTTGATATTCTAACTATCAGACCTGCCATATTGAATGGTGCCATTATAAATTCCTTTATAGATTTATTATTTTTGGTTTTGAATGGATTCGACTGGGAGAAAGGAAAACAAAGATGGTGCTATGAAATTGATCATGTGAGTATCTTTAGTTTTCCAAGGTTCGGCCCTGAGGTTGAGTGATTGTAATACCTATGTTAGGATTCAGTTATAACTATTAATTATATGCAGCTAAAGGTTAATCTTGGAAAACTAAGGGTCAGAGCTGGGAAAATATTTTTAGTTACTTTTTCAGCAATTTCAAATATAATCAATTTTTTAGTGTCGTAATAACAGTGTGCATGCGTTTACACTTTGAGGTCAAAACTTGGCAGAATGATTTAAATTATGCCCAAAGCAGCTAGTTAACCTGTGCAAAAAGTATAAATTTTCAGAAATTGAAACGATTTGTAAACAATTTTCATTCAAGACAGTAACAAATTTTTTAGTAATTTTTCTACAATTTTGGAGCAACTTCAGTGGTGATTTTTCAACATTTTTAAAATTTACTTTGCTGAGCATTTGTTAGTAACTATATTCCCAGCCCTGAAAATGAAAGCTTTTGATCCTAATTTTGAAAAGGCCGAACCTTGGTTTCTTTTTCTTTAAGCAGAAAGACCTTAAATTGATGTTAGAAAATGATGTCAGAATGTACGTTTAGATAGCATATCATGCAGTTTGGCAGAGAGAATTGAGTTTGCTTCATTTGACAAAGCTGTACAGAAAAAACTAGCTCTCCCTGAGGTTGAAATCCTTGACGAGCTTGAACTGTTGGGCTCCGAAGTCAGTCAAGATTTGGCCGAATTAGCTTTTAGAAGCCAACCAATGCCAAATGTTGATTTGGACGATATAGAGTCTTCGGTATCGACAAGAGAAGCCCCTCCTAGTCACCTGATCTTCGAAGATTGTCGAGCTGGCGACGATGTGTCCACAGTTGCTCTTTCTATGATTGCCAGGAACCAACTGAACCAACGAAGTGCTTCTGGTCCGAGCGTGAATCAGATAAGACCCATAGCTCCAGTCATTGCCGATAGGCCGCTGCTCGTTGCTAAACGAATAAATCCGAACGTAAATAGCGGTAGTATTGCTAGCGGAGGCACCAACGGGTTACCGTTGAATTCACAACAGACCATCGAGTTATTTCCGAAGCCTAGGGTACCTAGTGACGCGCATAGGTTGACGACCCTAGTGAATGACGGTAGTTCCTCGATAGTGAGAGTACTTAATGCTGGGCTACTCATTTCAATTCGTAAAAATAATTTTTGAATACACTGAAACTGATTATTGTTATCAAGTTAGCATATAGATGTACAGTACATAAAGGGAAAAGGATTAGCTTTTTGTTTTTAACTTTTTAATATTTAGCCTTATAAACGGTTTTAGCAATTTTTTGGTATCAGTGAGGTTTTTGTAAGCTTCGTTTCATTTTTTAATATAATAACGGACGGTTATTAGCACATTAGTCAGGAATCACTTCAAATGAAAAACTACGAGGTGCCGCATAGCCTCATTGCATTAAATGGCCTTGCCTCTGTGAAAATTACTCCTAAATATGGCTGAGTAACCATTAAATCCTGGAACTACCCGTGCAAGATGCAAGTTCAATTGTAAGCAGTCAACTGCAACAACAAAGATTGCAAGCTGGTCCATCTAATAATCAGCAGAACAGTTCCGGCTATCAGCAAAGACCCTTTAGGGGAAACCGAAATCGTCCAAGACCAGTTAGTGGAAATCGCGGTGGCAGTGGAAGTGGTTTCTCAGCTCGAAATAGGTTTCAGGACTCTAGTTTTCCAGAACCAACGGAGAAAAGAGGGGGTCAGCAGCTGAGTGGGGGAAGTGTAGCATCTATTCAGACGCAATTCTGTTATGCTGCGTTAGTTCATATTTGTTGGGCTAATTTTGAAGGATTAAAATTATGCATTCATTTTTTCTTCAAAGCAGTTTTCAAACTACTTTTTCATTTTAAAAAGTCAATCTCTGTCATAGATAAAGATTTCTGTGAGGCCAGTGAAGACATTTGAAATTATCTTAAAAGCATTTGAATTAAAGAAAGCACTTTTTACAATGAATACGTCAATTTTCTTTCAATATTTCTTCCAAACTAGGCGTTCACCCGTTGTAATCGAGTTTTGATGCGTAGTTGGGTTTTTATTTCCATAACGACGTTTCTTTTTCTCAAAAACTCATATTTTCAAAATTGTTAATTCGGATCCTGGATTCGAAAATTTTGAGGCACTCGAGTTTTTTTCATGAATCAGCGATTCTTCGATTTTTAAAGGAAAAGTATCTTGTAAAGATTTTTTGTAATAGTCATCACTGAGATAGGTGAAGACTGTTTCTGCGTTTCAGGGAGAATCCGAAGTCGAAACGATATTTCGGATCTGTGTCGAAGTATAGTCCAGTGAAAGACCCAGGGTTCATAATGTACTCGAATCAGTACAAAGAAGCCATTTTCAAGACCAAAGATGTGTTATATGGACCTGTCAGAAATTCACAAGGTAATTTTTCAAACCAGATCAAGGCGTACTTTTGAATTGCAATACAATAAAAAAAAACACTGTGCATTGTGATTTAGTTTTAGACTTAAGGTCAGATTTATTTTGAAATTGTGAGACGCTATCCGGTAAAGCTGTCATGAATTATCTTGACTTGGTTATTTTTTTAGGCAATGTCAAAATAAGAAGTGCAGATAACGTGTTGTGTAAAATAGTGTTCGAAGACGACGTCGGTTATGCAAGGGAAATCTACGTGTTGCCATTTACAGTTGACACGTCATTGATTGCCAAATGTATTCCTTGCTTCATAGGAACTGTAATTCAGTTCGACTTGACAAAATTGACTGGTGTAATTGAAAATGCAGACGGAGCAACTGCTGATTTTAGCCTGAATGATGTTTCATTCGACGGAGATTCGGCGGAGAAAATAGCGAACGGTTATAGTGGCGAAGTTGTGTTCTCGGTGTGGTTCGCGAGGGGTGTGTATACTGCGAAAGAAGTGAGATGTTTGCGAGGAGAAGAGGAGTAAAATAGTGGAGATATCCCCCTAAAAACGTTCTTAGTTGAAGATACGAGCGCTACATTCTAGATTACATTCAGAGAGTCCATATGAAAAAAATGATTGACTATTTGTTAAATTGTTAAAATTATCTCAACTGGAGTCTGATTATGAAGTTGAATTTTTTTGTTTTGTTTCCTATTTTTATAAGTCGCTGACTTAGAGAAACAATTTTCTTTAATTCATTTCTACGTTTATTTGAGTTATAACTATTTATCATATTTAGACCAATCAAACAAGAATAGACGGTTGGCATGAAAAATACACCGAAAGCTCTGGCCGTATATGTGGCTGTATAAGCAGCGTATTTGTAGCCTCGCCTTTATATAACAATGGTCTTAATTAGGCTCTTGTTTTTATTTTTGTTTTTAGCTATTTGACTTATAATTTCTTTAAGTTCACTTCTTTTATTGTTAAAAGGAAGACAAACTCCACTATCGAACAGCAAAAGTGTAAAGGTCACGAAAAACGTGATCAAGTTCTAGTTTCGAAAATGGATTTGAAGTTTGAGATTTCCCAGCGGAATAAAGAAATTACCAATTGATCCATTTTTCTCAAATTGGGTTATTTTTATCAAAAAAGGCAAAATTTTTATTATTTCCATGCGTTAATTTCCAGCTTGAACATTTTTTTTGCTGGTGTGTGTTTATTCGCTGTGAAATCGCTGGTGTGTGTTTATTGGAGAAAAAATTCAAAAGTAGGATTTAGAAAATATATATTCCACTAGCTTTAATAACTAAAACAATTGTCGATGAGTCTCTTAAGCTATTTAAATTGACGTTAAACATTTGAATTTTGGCCTTAATGAAGGAGAAAATACGATTTCAGACCAAATAAAGGCTAGCTTCTTTTGTTCGAGGTGATAACAGTAGTTGTTTGCTGATCACAGAACATTCTGACCGCAAATAAAATGCAAAAAAAAAATCAAGTTCATCAATAAATTGTTTCACTCTTCTCTAAACGTTCAATTTCGTAGCTTTGAAAAGCAATTAATTTGGACAATAGCTTTTAGGCTATACTAAATATCGAAAGTTTGCTCAACTTCGAACTATTGTTTCGGGGCATGGCAGTTTCAGATATGTTAAATAATTCCCTCTGTTGTTGCAAAACGAGGTAAGTTCGTTAATAAGAACTATCATCAAAAATGATTTATCATTGAATTAGTGGTGAATTTCTGTCATAGGTAGCATAGGGAGGATAATTAAAGAGAGCCCAGTGTCCTAAAGTAGATTCAAAGTGAAAAGGAGATTTTTCAATAAAGTAAAGTTATTTTTGGATGCATCATTTCAGATCTCTCAGTTAGAAAAGGTAAATGAAAATTAGTTATTTTTTTTTGTTATTTCAAATGGTTCAAAAGTATGTTTGATCACGGATGAAGATCTGTCTATGCTTGATAGGTGTGCTTGATGCCTTCGGTAGGCCTCAGCGATATTGGTGGAGTGCCAATGTCTTTACCATGATAAGTAAGTCTAAAAGAAAAAAATCGAGAAAGATGATTTCTGTTTTGTTTGTCTGTTATCGATCTATACTCTGTTGACTGTATGGTGGTACAGGTTTTATTGCGATCATTTACCGAACAGCCTTTTTATCGTTCTTGATATAGTTACGCTTGAAATAGTTTAATTGGTGGATTTTTTGCCGCATAGCATTGACAATTTAATTACAAGTGTAGCTGCTTTGCTGGACAAGTATTTGATATTCGATCATTTTTTGATTTTTCGAAAAGAAACTCGACTGTGTTAAATTGAACGTCTTTAGTCACCCTTGGAATAAGCAAGTGTGTTGCAACCGGGAGCTAGACTTTTTCCCGCAAAGAACTTGTTCACAGAATGGACAAAAGAAATGGTACTCAGTATGTTTTATAACTGCTGATTCAATAGCATGGTAAGTTTATTCGCTGTATTTGTGCATTGGTGTACGTTAAGATTTGCAAATACTTTTTATCGGTGCTAAAATGCATCGGTAGATTTTCGGCTCTTAGGTCTGTCGGGTTTAATTGTCGGCTTGTTTTCCTCATGTTTTGATTTTATAGTTTTACATGGTGTTATATGAGAGCAGTTGAACTCTAAGAGAAATTTTTTGAGAAATTCTTTCTCTAATGAGAAATTTTTTCGTAATACAATTGAAACATGAATATTTTGTTTTGTTGATTTTTGATAGTATATCAAGTTAGAGATTTCAATTTTGCCTGTTTTTTTCCTCCTATACTCGAATGAAAAAGTGTATGCGTTCAATTATGGCCCCGAGTTTATTTTTTTTGAATTTCATTTATCAGCTTACTTTCCAAATGATGCATTTTTTTGGTTGAAGCAAGTTTTGCTAGGATTGCACGACTTTTTGATTGTTGCGACCGCTGATTTTGTACAATTTCCGTTTTCTTTCGTTTTTTCCTCAAAACATTTTTCGGACTTTGGTTTTTGCAGATGTAGTATCGTTAAGTTGAATTAAATTGCGTCGTTTCAAGGGCAAAATTAGATTTTTAGGTGTTTGTGTTTCAGGAGGAAGCAAATTTTCGTTTTGTAAAATTTAATACCCGAGATATTATATGTTAGGTTCAACGATCGCTTACCCAAGTTTTTTCGGCTTAGGTGGAGCTCAATAAATTTTTGTGAAAGGTAATTTAACGTTGTCGATTGTACTTCTTGAAATGTGTTCCTGAAATTGATCATTATCTGAGACAAAAGCATCGTTTTTTGGGATATACATTTTAATGTAGACTTTTTCCAACATACTGGCCTGCTACTCATTCTCTACTCTTAAGTTACAAGTGGTGCGAAGCAAAAGTGTAAAGGTCACGAAAAACGTGATTGAATTCCAGTAATCGATTTCAATTCTTAGATTCACAGCGGAATAAAAGTATTATCTTTTGATCCAGTTTTTTAAATTGGGGTATTTTTATCATCAAGTTGTTATTTATAAATGCTCTTGAAATTCAAAGAACTTGAAGGCCATATATTTGTTTCCTCGAAAGTTACTTGCGTTCATTGACTCTTTTCCAACTTTTTGTTCGCTGTTTTAAATCATTTGTCGCGAACTTTTTACGCAGTTTGCTTTTTTATTAACTGTTTTTGAAATTCAAAGCTTTAAGGTCATTCTTTACTTTGAAATTCAAAAGTTGAAGTTTTGTTTAAAAATTATAAGCTGTTTTTGAAATTCAAAGCTTTAAGGTCATATTTTTTTACTTTGAAATTCGAAAGTTGAAGTTTTGTTTAAAAAACAAGTCAGATTTGTTATGTTTCCTTGCGTTCATTGACTCTTTTCCAACTGAACAAATCTTTTCACCAGGTTAGTTTGTTTACTATGCCAAATGTCGTTGTATAACGACAACGTTAAATAGTTATTCTAAACTAATTCGAGTATGAGAGGCGGGTGGTTAGAAGATCCTAAATAATAAATTGTCACGTCTGTTTTTTTCCTGAGTGTTATAATACACTTGCAAGTGCATGTGTCTTGTAATCGGTTACTACGCTTTTTTTCTATGCTGTTTAAAATGTTTTTGATAATCGTATATTGACTTAGAAGCCTCGTATTGCTTCGTTTGAAGGATCATAATAATTTTAATTTTTGTATGTGTGCTGGGGGTACGTGGAACTTGAAAACTTCGAGTGTTGAAACGTTTTGTGGCTCTTAGATGTTTGTCTCAACGGGCGTACACCCAAGCTTTGTTACCGATTCATAAAGTTTGTATAAATTTTCTTAGTTTTTTGTCGCTGTGCTATGTCTGTGATGTAACGCAAGTGGTGCAAAGCTCAGCTTGGCCTTTGTCAAAACCTAAGACTGAAAAATTGATAAATGACTGAGAATTTTGATGATTTGAAAAAATGTAAGTCGTTCAATTGATGGCTCAGCACTATGAGCTGAACATGTTCGCTACCTCTTTTGAAATGACGCCAAAAAACGTGATTGATTTCTAGTTTTGAAAGGAATTTTATTTTTTGATTTCTCAGCGGAATAAAAACTTTTCTAATAATCCAGCTTTCTCAAATTGGGTTAGTTTTATCAAAAAAAGTGTCAATTAATAATTGCTCTTGAAATTCAAAGAATTTTAAGGCCATATATTTATTTGTTTGAAATTCGAAAGTTTTTTTTCAAAAAAGTGACTTTTTTCTTTGCATTCTATGGCTCTTTTCCAACTATCTGTTGGCTTTGTCTTTGAAAACTTAATATATCTATTTATTTTCTTTGAATAGAATGTTTTAAAATATGTTTAGAGGATATCAGCAGCTACAAGCACTTCAGAATATGCAAGACACTCAAAGAGAAGTGCGACGTAAACGTTAGTATCGAGTTTTCATCAAGTTATGGACCTTTGCTTTTAAGGCATACTTTGTAAATATTACATATATTTAGGGATCTTGGACAAGTTCGACGCCCGAAGAACCTGTGAGTTACCGTCCATTTGCAACCAGCAGTCCTTCTCCCGACGATGACATTGAACTTCTACCAGACGAAGATTTATCGCCGGTCAGCGAACAGGCCAATGGGAGAGGTTTGCATGCTATGGCATTCGACGAGGACGAATCTGTGATTGGATTGACGAACGAATACGATGACATGGTCGAACAAATTCATGCTCTGGATCTAGACACAGAAGCGCACATGGTCACTATAAATAATATTAAAGGTATGTTGTTAGGTACTGATTTATTTGAGAAGCCGATTCGATCTGTGCATCCCTTTATGGGAAAGTTGTTGTCTCTCTGACTAATCGCGGATTTATTTAGCCAAAAATTTCTGCGCAGTTATTAAGCACTTTTTGGGAGCTTCGAATTTTGGAGAAATCAGCTGTAAAGCCCCTGTAAATGATTCAATGGGTCGATTGATATACCAAATTGAAGCCCTTTCAGTCGTGATTCGAACAACAAAATCAAAAAAAAACGTTTAAAAGTTTGATTTTTTTTAAATTTCGATCGAATAAGCGAGCGAGCAGGCTTCTAACAGCTTATTTTTGCTTAATTTAAGCCCTGAAAACTTAAATGTAAGCAAATAAAAAAGTTTTGGAGTTTTTGTACGCAATTTTACGAACCAAAAATTTCAAAAAATTTCTGCAAACAAATTTGAAAAAACAGTTTTTTTGAAGTTTTTCTAGATTTTTTTCTGCAAACATTTTTGTTCATTTTGCCCACGACTGTCGATTATGCCTAAATTTAAGTTTTACGTCAGGTCCTTTTATCACACTACGCAGAAATAAGAAATAATCACACTACTTACTTGAAAAAAACTTGATATACCAAATTGAAGCCCTTTTTTTTTTAGTTTTTCATAGACTATGGTCGGAACAGTCTGTGCTACTTGCACAGTAACCGGCTATCCTTGTTTATATTTCACCTCAGTTGGGGAAACTTGAAGATAAGCCTTTTTTACCAAAACAGCTTTTTGCTTTAGATCGAGGCCTTTTCTTTATTTCAAAATAATACACCCACATGAAGTTTCGAATGTCAGAACGGTAAAGCACCTTGTAAATATAATTTTTGCAATGAAATTCTGAAGTTTTTATCTACAAGTAAAATAAGTTTTTGTTAAAATGTTTATGAAAAAATGTGCTATCGGCAATTAATGATTTTTTTAGGCTTTATTTTTTTAAAATTTCAATTCGGGTTCTGCTGACTCGGTTTCTGAACTAACTGAACTGGTAAGGGACCAAACAACCATGCCTGCCTTCGTTTTGTTCGATAAAAGACGTTAAAAAGTTGACCATTTTTTTTATCTAAAATTGAATTGCCACAAGCAAAAGAATGCAATATTTGGTTTTTGAGATCGTTAATCAGCAACGCTTGATGTGCCTCTTGGTGTACCACAGGGGTCCATGTTCGGCAAAATCGGAGGGCTTGACCTTTCGATCATGTATTTTTTTGACGAATGAACGCTTTTGCAATTAATAATATATACATTAAAAATATGCATTAACCGAGAATATTATACTGCATCTTAGTTTTCGGATGTGCCAATAAGTCTTCCTTAGTTAAATTTAAGAAGTTGTACTGTATGTTCTTAAGACCTATTAATTAAAAACAGAATTTGTTTCGACGGATGTTTATGAAGACAATGTGCTGGATGTTTTCAATTTATGTTTAAGATTTAGTTAAATTTGTTCTCCGTCTAAATCTTTATTCACCGTTGAATTGACATTTCTTTTATAGGATTCGAATCGTCAAATGGCTATGAAAGGTACGAAAAGTTTCAGCTGAATCATATAATGACCATTTAATTGACTGTTTTCAAATTATTTGTTTCAGTAATGCTGTTCCCAAAGCAAGAAGAATCAAGAACAGGCCAAAAGAATCTTCGGGCTTAGAAAACAGTACGCGTATATGAAAATATTGAAATTTTCTTCAAAACATTTAATTGATTGAGGTGGAACATTTTAGACTCGTTTGCCGAAAATTTAGTCAATGACAGCTATTACAATCATTTCTGCGAGCGGTTCAAGTTTCCGCTTGTCCCAGGTAATTCAAATATTGTTTTATCATTTATAACTTGCATGATTTTTGACCGCTTTGTAGCCAATTTCTTGACTGACCTACATTTTGTTGACTTGCTGATGCGTATGTGTTGTTTTTCGATTATTATAAGAAATTTTGTTGTACAAGTTTTTTATGCGTACTTTTATCAGGTAGCTGCCGAAACCTTCATGAGTATAAAAACTGTTTTTTCAATAGTTTTAAAGTTAATCTTTGCCAGCAGATATTGCTTTTCGAGCTGAAAAAGTTATAAATGAATTATCATCTTCGTGGTCATAGTTTTTGAAGTCTAATGGATTATTGCAGATAAGCTTCTGTTTTAAAAATCAGCGACAAATATATTTTTTCTATTGGTTTTGAATATACTGTCAAGGGCTCAAGTAAACTTATAGGTGCAACTGTGCGGGTCGAGAAACTTTTCACGCTTGGTGTCAGAGGCAAAAATAATTCAAAAGAGGGACACTTTCAGTATCCTATTGGAAGTGCAGTTTCGGGGAAAGGGGAAATACTGGTGTGCGATCATGGCAATAACAGGGTGCAGATATTTGAAGCCACTGGGAGGCTCAAGTGTGTTGCGGGAAAGGGCATTCTGGATAGACCTAGTGCAGTAGTTTGTGCGGAGAATGGCGGGTTTGCGGTACGCGCAGATAATGGTGTCTATGTAAGTACCATTTTGTGTATTGGATGAAATTTCACTCTATTTTTATCGTAGAGAAGCTGATATGGACATCGCACAAAATCCATTTTTTTTCACGAACACTGCTAGCTTAATCTGATATTGAGAGTTCAATCTAAAACTTAAGGTGTGGAAGTTCGTGATTTTTTTTATCAGGAAAAAGTCTTAAAATGCTCTAATAACTACAGATGTGCATTCATGCTTTTATGAATGCATTTAGTTATATATGCTTTTTTTGAGTTCAATTGAAATTCATCTGCTGAAAGTGACGTGAATAGCAACCTCCAAATGCGAACGTGGAAATAGCGCGAAAAAACGTGAACAATTTCTAGCTTCGAAAGTAGAATTTATTTTTCAGATTTCCAGCGCAATAAAAACTTTTCTTATTGATCCAGTTTTCTCAAGTTGGGTTTATGCTATCAAAAAAAAACGACATTCATAAATAATTCTGGAAATTCAAAGAGCTTAAAGGGCATCTATTTTTTTGAAATTCGAAAGATGAGATTTTTTCAACTAAGTCGGTGTTTATTTTCTGTTTACTTGCGTGCATTACTCTTTTCCAACTGTCTGTTGTCTACGTTTCGTTTTCCCTGATTCATTTTTGCCTGTTCAGAGCTCTTTTCTGCATTTTCCTTGCTTGTTTTTGCGAAGCACAGCTTCGCCTCTGTGTAAAAGCTATTGGTTAGAAGTACACTTTGGCGTTCTCGTTATTTTAATTCACTCGCAGGCTAAAATCACAATAAAAAAATCCGAAGCCTTAAATTTCCCATTGAATTGAATCCTCCTAGGATATAATCCCTCATTTTTTTCGTTTGAACTATGCTACTAGTACTGCACAACTTGGAAGAATAAATTATTAGCGAAGATAACTGCAAAAGAGGAAACCATAAATCGACTTGAGGTTAATATATTTTTTTAAATGTTAAGAAGCAATTGCTTTGAGATAGTCGAGTTTTCATGCGATTGTTTTTAATCTACTGAAGTTACTGCACTTTTTCGCAAGCTCTGCATTTGAGAAAAACTGACTGACAGCTGCTTCTGAATTGCCGCTATAGACTCGGACCCTAGGTGCAAACCTTGATTCTAACGTAATATCCATTGGTCTTGAAATAAGACCTTCACTGTGTCGAACCTAGTTTTCCTCCTGGAAGAATTTCGGATTGCTTTGCCCCAAAAGTGTCCTCGAAATAGTTCTTTGTGCCATAGATCAATTATAAATGCAGATAATACAGGCAAGTGCCTTCATAGCATGTTGATCTGAAAATGGGGCCTTTTTCGCTAGTAAGACATATTCCTATGGGGGATTTTGACCAATAGATCACACATGGTTTTGAAATAAGGATTGAAGGACAGTTTGGTTTTCTCGTTAGTTTCGTTCGCTTTTTTCTGATGGAATGCACACACCAAACATTCAATCCAATGCATAAAATTTTTTAAAAAAATAGTTTTTGTTCTGACTCTTTTCGAAAAAAAATGATGGAATATTTGTGTTCGGAGTGGTTTTTGCTCGAGACAAATTTCTAGTTTTTAGCTAGCAATTTTTGACAGAGTTTTTTCATATCATTTGAAAAGTATTGTTGTCCTAAGCTCAAATTTATAAAGATATTTTACCTGTGATCATAAAGTTATGGGGTTTAAACATCGCTAATTTGGGACAATTAACGCGCGATATATTTCGGGCGCAGATACATTTCAGCCAAAAATACACAGATAATTCAGTCGCAGACAATTCAGCTAGTTTTTCAAAAGGTTTAGATTAAAAATAAAATTGGAGTTAGTTCTTAACTAAAGGTCACCGGTGGGCGCGCTACTCGCTTGTCGCCGCTTCGCGTTGATAGCCGGCTCTATATTTTGTACAGAGTCGTACCCTCTATTGGAAAGCTTGCAACTCGTTAGCGCGACTGCAGTGGTCACTATTAAATTTCTAGAAAAAATGCTAATTTTTGTCCGGCTGAATTGTCTGAATTTCATGTCGGCTGAGTTGACTTTGACCGAACTGCCTGGACGCGATATTTTGTGCTGTTAATGCTTAAGTGGAGATTTAATCCGTTTTAGAAATCGTTCCAAGTTGGATTCAGGCATGCTCTTTGGTCTATTTAATACTTAAAGCCGCCAAATGTAAATGTGATTGAGGAAATTTTTTTTTTCGGGGAAAATCAGAAATTGAAGTCCATGAAATCTGTTCATAGCATGCTTCCAGAAAAACACTTATTTGGATTAGTAGTTCCATTGGAAGCCAACGAATCTCTCAACTGGTAAAATGTTATACCGGATATGGATAAGTTGTGCTTTTTGTCCCTTTTCGGTACAGTTGATTGAAATTTGTCAAAACTGTTCATTTACAAAAAAAAACTTATTTGTTGCTAATTTTATCAAATAAATTCTTTGTCCCGCATTTTGTAGCGTTTTATTATTAAGGGGAATCCAGGATAGATCAATTGCGCTGTCAATTAAAATTCTTGGTGCATTTTTTATGGTAAGGTGCGTTTGCCGCTTCGTCTTTTTAAGAGTCGATGAACGTAGTTCAGACTCTTATATGAGTCATGGTGATTTTTTTTTCGTTTTTTTTTAGTTTTAAAATTTGTAAAAATTACTTTTTTTTGCTGTTTTGACTTTACTTCTTTTTAAAGTTTAGTTCATTTCTTGTGTTAAAAGGAAGGCAAACTTCACTATCGAACAGCAAAAGTGTAAGGGTCACAAAAAACGTGATTGACTTATAGCTTCGAAAGTGGAATTTAGTTATCAGATTTCTAGGCGAAATAAAAATTTAACTTATTGATCAAGTTTTCTCAAATAAGTTTAATGCTTAATAAAATCAGGTTATTCGAAATTAATCGAGTAAGGGAAATAATAGAGTGAAAAGAAAGTAACATCCACAGAAATTGAGACCAAATTTGAACGTACAGAAAATGTTTCCGGCAGAGCAAAATTCCAGAGTTATTTACAAAATACTTTTGTAATAATAATAATACGTAAATATTACATGAGTGTCGAATGTTTTTATAGCGGAAATTTGACAAATCGAGTATTTGCCTGTGATATCTCTTGCTCTACCTCCCATGATGTACTGATTCAGTTTTCTAATTATTTTTCAAGTGCCAATGATTGAAGTGATGACACTTAAGGTCGTGTTTTTTTTTGGGAAAAGTACATTTTGTTCAGGCTCTAATCGGATGTTTCGCGGTTTGACTTCTGATTTTTCTTTTTCTAAATGAAAGTCTCCCCTGACGAAAGCGCAAAAGGTGCAAAAACAATGTGAATGATTCAGTTTCGAAAGTGGATTTTTAATTTCAGATTCTCCGCGGAATATAACGTTTCCTAAACGCCCCAGGTTTTCCCAAATTGGTCTTGTTTTATTATCATAAAAGTCAATCTTAATAGACTTAAATAGAAATTTAAAAACTTCTTAAAAACTTGATTGATTTCTAGCTTCGAAAGTGCAATTTGTTTTTCAGATTTCCCAGCGAAATGAAAGTTTTATTTTTTAAGTTTAAGAAATTAAGCTTATTTGAAATTTATTGAGTAATGAAAGTAATACAATGGACAAAAAAAACATCCACAAAAATTGAGAAGGAATTCAATTATGGCAAAATATTTTTTGGCAGAGCAAAGCTCCAGAGTTGTTTTCAAATTTCATGTAATAATAATGCGTAAATATTACATGAGTTCGAATGTTGACTTAGCGTACGTTTGACAAATCGAATATTTGCCCCAGACCCGGCAAACCTCACTATCGAACAGAAAAAGTGTTGAGGTCAAGAAAAACATGACCGGGTTCTATTTTTCAAAGTGGAATTGAATTTTGTCGAATTTCCCAGCGGAGTAACAACTTAATTTCAAATCCAGTTTTCTCAAATTGGGTTAATTTTTATGTGACATCATAAATTGTTCTAGAAATTCAACGAACTTTTTACCATCTATGTACTTGCCGTCTTTGGCCATGTTTTGAGAATTTTGGGCGACTGCTGCATTTTTTTTGTTATAGTTTGTCAAAGCAGTTTTATATGAGTTAGTCAGCAATTTTATATGCCGGCACTGATAAAGTATAAAATTAAAGCTTGACAGTTAAAATGTTTCGAGAAAATATTCCCATTTAAACACGAGACTTGCAATTTATTTCGGGAATTAAAAGCTATAATTTTATGCTAAGTTTTGTTCTCAAGAATTAAAAAAAAAATTAAATTCAAAATTTTTTAGAATAAAGTGAACCCAGATTTTGATAGGTACTAAGCTGAGCAATATTCGTATCAGATCTCAAGAGTTATAAATTGTTTACGTTTCAGTTCTTCGATAAGGATTGCAACAACTTGCCGGAGAGAAATCTGAAATCAAAATCAGTCAAATTCTGCTACGGATTGGCGGCTTGTGGGTTAGGTAATCAATTTGACTTTTTCCTAATTTAAATAAAAATTATTTAAGTACTTTTCTTTCAATCAAATGGTTTCATCAATCCAATCCGCCGAAATCTTGTATCGTCCAGATTAATGTAGAGTCAATTTTGATCAGATTCGATCTTTATTTGGCAAAATTTCCTTGCCATAGCTTTTTTCGAGTGTTCAAAATTTGTGTTAATGATCGAAGCTAGCTTTTAATTTTCAAAAGTTCATTCATTTTTTGTTTTTCCAGGTGAATAAAAAATTGCTTAATTGTCGAGCTTATTTGAACTGCGTTGTTTTTCCTTATTTTGAATTTGAAAGAGCTGTTGGGTGATGTAATTTGTTCTAAAAAACTGAAAACTGAAGAAAAAAATAAGCTACTTTGATTTCATTGTCTGTCTTAAGATGAGCTTATGTTCGTGGATACTAATCGAGCAAAAGCCTCTCTGGTCCGACTCAACTGGGAGGGCAAATTGGTATCCACGGTTCCATTCCAGCCACTCACTGGAGCGAACAAACCCTCTAATTCCAAATGTCGCTTCATGGATGTGTATCAGGACAAAGTGTACGTGTCGGATTTAGGTTAGTCATGTCTTGGATCTTGTTTTGTATCAATTTTTTAAATTTGAAATAGAGTGGTAGAAAAACGGTGTCCCCTTTCAAAGACCACTGAAAATAGCGCAGTTTATGCTACGGTTTTCAAATGGTAATGATCAAAACGCGTTTTTAATGTTCGTTTATTTAATAAAGTCTAAATCATGAAATATTCTAGAAATTAAAAAAGCGTTAGATTGATATATTTTCTTTTAAAATTGCAATTTGATGATTTTTATACAAATGTCATTTTTTCTGCTTCCTCGAACTCATCAATTATCCAACTGCCTATTGGCTGTGTTGACAAGTAGTAATTATGACTATTTGCTCCTCAGTTTTCGTTGGACGTAGAGACTGTAGCTCAAGTTTTGAGAGTTACATAGTGAGCTATGGTCTTTTAAACAATGGAGTTGTTTCACTCTGCGTGAAAAAAAATTGAATGTAACTTTCTGAATACATAACTTTGAATTTTAATTAGAATTTATTGTAACAGGAGCCTCAAAAATATACGTCACAAAACTGAACGGAGAAATTTTGAATACATTTGGAACGTTTGGATCTAAAATGGACCAGTTGAATGAACCGGCCGGTATCAAGTGCACTGATGGCTTCATTCTGGTTTCAGACAGTAAAAACCACCGGCTCAAGGTAATCAAATCAAAGCGTTGATGTAATTGTACATACTTAAGATCAAGAAAATAAAGAAAGTGTCATAGTTTTTTGCTGCATTTCTTGTTATCTTTTATTTAATCTCAACAAAATGTATTCATTTTTTGATGATTCACAGAAAAATTATTTGAAAACAACTTTCATGTTTAAATCTGTCGTGAGTTTCGTATTAAAAACTGTCACTGCTTTTCTGTAGAACTAGTTAGTTTTGGATATTTTTTCTGTAGAACGAACTTTTTTGTCGAACTAATTAGTTTTGGATATTTGCGAAATTAGTTCTTTGTAACTAATATAATAAAGGTGTCCTAGGTATACGATCAATTCGGAAACACGCTCTCGCTGCTGAGTTTCCCTCATGGAGATTTCATCCGACGTCCTTCCGACATTTGCTTCGGATCCGACGGAGTGCTCGTCGTGAACTCATTTCTCACTCACGAAGTATTCGTTTACAGACTAAAAGCTTCCTGTCCATCAGTGTACTGAACAATTGCAATAAAGAGATCATTAAAAATTGTGCTTAGCAAAGCAGTGATATTGTTTCTTTGTTGATGAAGTTGATTTATTATTTTGTCTTTAACGTTATCTTGCTCTACCTCCTAGGATGAACTGATTCAATTTTCCAGGTGTTTTTCAAGTGTCAATGAGCGAAGTGAAGTCCATTTTTTAGGTCGTTTTTTTACGAAATGAAGTATAAAATTTGCTCAGGCTTAAATTTGATTTTCAGCGGTTTGACTTCAAATAAAATTCAAATTCATTTGCTAAAATGAAAGTAAATTACGCTCTCTAAAAAGAATGCGCTAGTTGCGCCGGAAAAAATTGTGATTGACTCAGTTTCGAAAGTGGACTTTGTTTTTAGATTTGCTACCGGAAAAATGGTCCACGTTTTCCTAAAGTAACCCACTTTGGGAAAACGTGGACCATGATTCCGGTAGCAAATCTAAAAACAAAACTCCACATTCGAAACTAAGTCATTCGCGTTTTTTCTCCGGCGAAACTTTTTTGATCAATTTAATCAAAAACGTTAATTAAAAGACTTCGAAAAACAATTTGAAATTCAAATAGCTTCAAGGGTAGATAAATGTAAAACTAATTAATTTACTTCTGTTGTTTTTGTTCATTGACACTTTTCCAACTGTTGGTTGGCTATGTTTTGATCTGTTCGCTTGTAATTTCTATAGTTTTCTTTTGATACGTTGTTAAAAATGATCCATATTTGTTCACATGACGAAAAAGTTGTGTGTACGAAGACGAAAAACGAGGCTTGTATGTCCACGAAATTGTTTTTTTTTTGTTTGGAATTTAATTTATTTCTCTTCTTTTCTTTTGGACGTGAATAAAGGCAAGCATAGTTTATCTGCCCTTTTCTTTGGAAGTCAGAACAATAGGTCTTTAAGAGCTTGCAATTAAATGTTCTGAAAAGTAAGGGAAATTTAAAAGTGAATTCGAAAACCTTCAGAGTAGGTCTGATTAGTCCATCTAGAAGAAATAATTTAAACTAAAAAGTATTATGAAAGCTCGCTTTTAAAATTAAGTACATTTTAAATAACCATTAAGTCTGAACTTAATCACCTTTTGTTCTGGATTTGAAGAGATTGATTGGGCATTCGCTCTCGGTGGGATTTTTTTACCATCAATTTTGACTTCTCAAAAGAAAATTTTTAGGAAGCTTTGAATAACATCTGACAGATTTCGTTATACAGCTCTCAAGTTCAACGATGCTTTACCTGTTATTATTGTTAGGAGTATTTGAATAATTATTGTATGCTATGTTGCAATAGTGTTTAGGAAGTCAATGCAACTATATTAGAGATATACTAATTAGCCCTAGTAAAGCATCTCGGCTTTTTCCTGATAGCATGACAATTTACCCGATTCCAATCTAGCCCATACCATTTTTTCCTATTTGGTATTTTAACCTATTCAAAATTACTCCACAATTAAGTTTTTCCTTCATCGCACTAGGTGCTAGTGACATATATCGAAGTGTTAATTCATTGGAGTTCTACCGCGTAGACTCATAATGAATATCGGTTAATAAAACGAATACTTTGTGGACTTGATGGAAGATTTTAACCAAAAGAAGTAGTATTTAGCACAATTAGCAGATTTCAATCCCCAAAAACAGTAATTGAAATAAAAATGAACAAACGAATTGAACAATTTAATCATTTTATTAATTGCAAATTATACACAATGAGCCAAATTACAATGGGATGAATCCATCGAAATCGTTTAACGCTTATCATGGAGGGAAACGATTTTAAGAATAATCAAAGATTCACGGTCGCATCTCAAGTGTGTTTTTTTTTTGCTTTTTCCCTTCTGTCATTATGTATGGTTTTAATATTTGCTTTCATTTTATGCAGAATAACTCAGGAAAGAGAAACTTCGAACAGTTGCAATCAGTTAAAAGTTTTTTTTTTCAATTAGTCTCGAATCCTGAGAATAGACGCCAAGACCATTCCTTGACTAAGTTGAATTAAAACCGAATTTTTTTTACAAAAGATCATTTCAAAAGTTTTGTGTGATGCTGATTTTTGTCCTGTGAAATGTTCTTGCCTCAACCTTTTTATACTTCCGCCAGCCTGACGAACCAAAAATATTTGCTTCAATCTGCATCAGTCAGCTCTTGGCGTTCCATAAAACTGTTACAGGGTTATAAGTGTATACCTTTATTGTTCTGACCATTGAAAAAAGGGAGGAACTTTGTTATCGGGTGTTTTAGATTTTTTTCCCACGCAAAATCAGGTACCACAAATAATCATTGGAATGAGGTGAGTGATTTCTTTAGCTTCGTTTAAAATGTGATTTAAACGACTTTTAAAAATTAAAACAAATTGTCTCAGTGTCGAGAAAAATGGGTTTGAGATTTAGTGTATTTTCGAGCGAGTAACACGATCGAGTAACGCTCGTTGTTTGATAATTCTGTTCTCTCAGACATTCAAGATTTAAAAAAATAATTTTTTTTTACTAAAAAAAACGAGTTTTAAATATTCCATTTATCGCTTATTTGGCAATAAATTGTTTTCAAAATGAAAAAATTAACATTATTCTTCAAAAATTTAGAAAAAACTTACAAAACGTTTTTTTATATATTTCATTAAAAATTTTTGAATTTATTCATTTTTGAAGACAAATTTTGTCGTTTATGCCTAATTTTTTTTTGCTCCGCGAAAGTATAGTTCTCCAATCTTGTCTCCCACAAAAAACATCACTAAATTGAAGAAAACTAAACAAAAACACGTTTTTATGACTATGATCGGAACATTCTTGCTACTTGCTGTGCATTTTTAAGCGATTTTTTTTTTCGTTTTACATTGTTTCATTTGGTTTGAGGTCAATTGGAAGAACGTGGAGGGTAAGCTGTAATGTATTTTGCATAACGTTGGCCTTTTTACAATTGTACCAAGCATGTTTTTCTAGGAAGAGTCGCAGCGAATGGTCAGATAAAAAAACGACGCAATTTTAGTTGATTTTGTTGAAAAATACAATAATATGGCCAAAAACGGCGGCGATGGGTGAAGCCATAAAAGTTAAGGTGTGCAGAGGGAGAATAGTTGCTCGGATTATTTCAAAAATGGGATGAACTTTCTATTCGAGTGTGTTGAAGTTGTTTTCCTTTTGTTTTTCTTTTATCATAGGAAATGTTCGAGTAACAATCATAATAAAGCCCTTGCAGTCATGATTTTAACGATATTCAAAATTTTATCCTAGTATCGAGAAAAACGGGTTTAAAATTTTTAATTTTCAGTCTTAGTTCGAGCAAAAAATGCAAGCAGTGAGGCTTTCAACAGATTATTTACCTTTAATTTAGGCCACGAAAATTTAATTTCATTAAATTGAGTTGTTCTTGGAGTTTTTAGTGCAATTTGATTTTAAAAATTTTGGAAAATGAAAAAAAAAATGTACAAAATTTTTTAAAGATTTTACTTTTCAGTCATTTTTCAACAAAAACTGTAGATCAATTAACCTTTTTTGCTATGTTTGTCGAATATTCCTAAATTACAGCGTTTTGTTCAGATCTTTTTTTACCCCAACAGGCAAACCAAAAAAACGGCACTAAATGAGAAAAAATATATTTGTTGAGCTTTTTAAGACTATGGTCGGAACATTTTTGACTGCTGTTACAGTAATCGTCTATCCTTGTTTTAAAACTGTTGTTAAATTCTGTTTTTCTTTTTTATTTGAAATTTTGTCATCATGTGACTGATTTATTATAAATGCATATCCTAACACAAAACTCAGAACAAATAGTTTGCTCTAAAATATTTTGGAACAATTTTTGAGCCAGATTATTCTGTTTAAATTCTTCTATCTCTTCACCCCGTCCAGATTTTCTACTCATTTATGATTGATTATGCACGATTGTGTGAAAACCTATGTCAGTTAGATCAGACAAACAAAAAATAGGAATGTGAAACAACGATAGCCGTTTTCTGTAGAAGTAGCAAAGAAGTTCATAGTCTAAAAAAATAAAACAAATCATTTTTTTTCTCATTAGTGCCGTTTTTTCTGCGTGGTGTGACAAAAAGATCTAAACAATAAACTAGAACTTTGGCATTTTTGACCATTTTTTGTAAATGGGCAAATTAGAGTAATTTTTGTAGAAAAATAACGAGGAAAAAAACGTAAAAAATTGAAACTTTTTTTGCTCAAATTTCATTAAAACTAAATGTTGTTAAATTTGTTTTTTTTTCGATACTGGGTCAAAAAGCAACTGAAAAGGTACACGGTTGATATATCACTCAATCCATTTGGATGATTTTTTGTGGTATCTGATTTTGCGTGGAAAACCAAAAAAAAAAGAAAACAACTAAAACACACCCGAATACAAAATTTCTTCCAAATTTCAATGGTTTGAACAAAAATGCTGATGAAGAACGGAAATGATAGAAAAAAAAACTAGAAATAGAAAATTACGCGCATTTATTATTCCAAATTAGCAGTTTTTGAACCAGCTTAACTTCACAAAAAGCGAGTGAACATGAAGCTTTCGTAATTTTTTGCTCAATATTTTCCGTGAGAATTAAAAAATCCCTAAAATCTTTTAATGGTTAAAAAATTTGCCCTTTGACTAGTCCCAATTATATTGCGTACTAATTATCACAAATAAAAAAATTTCAAATCTCCAGAACTTCATTAAATATGATATCAGGTGTATTATCTATTTTGTTTCAAATCAACGAACCAACATCTTCCTCGGGGTAATATTTTTTTTCTGAAACTAATATCAGGATTGCCTAAATAAATATGAATACCAAAAATATACATGGCGCTTTTTTTTTAAGTCAGAAAACGTCGTGTTCTGCCAATAGCTTCATGGCACTATCGAAATAACGTCTATGGCCATGAAATATTCTGTTCCGGATTGAACTCCATAGACCAAAAATGCTATCATTCAATTCCATAATATTTAACTCAATGAAAAATACCAGCCAAACAAAAGTAATTTATTTTGCTGAAATTGTCAATGGTTTTTTTTCGTGTTTTGGCATAAAAACGGGTGTATCGTAAATAAAAAAGAAAATTATTTTTCAAAAAAGCTTACAAATTCCATTTTAAGTAGTTTCAAAATAGCCTAAAAAATTTTGTGTGCATAACGTAATCTTGGAAACACTGAGTTTGTATTTCTTCTACTTCCCTGGTTACCGTGGATAACTTGTTTCAAAAACGTTTAAAGCACCTATTTATTTTGTATGGCATGTGTATAAATCTT